TTTCCAAGCTCAAGTTCTGTCAACAGTTTGTGGAAGCGTCGGTCAACTCATTCGGAGACACGTTTTGGTATTTGTTCTTTTGGATAATGACACTCATCTCTGCCTAAAAGTAGTTGAATGATGTCAGAGTGATCTTAAATTGCTGGCTCTTCGGCGCCTTGAGTACAGCATCGTACTTGCTATTATCACTCGCGATGCGTCTGTTTCTGAGTTGTGTCTCGATTTGTGCAAACCACGCGACGGGATCTTCACTGACGAACGTGATGAGCTTAAAGTTCCACAAGGCCATGACCTGGAGCTCATCAAATGCCTGCAGGTTGATGCGGTTCACATCAAACGAGACATTGTCATGACCCTAGCCCTGCCTGCCTCTCGCGTTTGATCCTGGTTGCCTGCGCTAGCAGGGGATGCAAGAGCAAAGGACCGAGGAGATTGTCAAGTTGTGAATATGTGTGATTTTGTTACTGATCCATTCTCGAGACTGTGCTGATGATACTAATAGAAGTCGTTGTACCTGATGTTGTTGAATTTGATTCTATTGCACCTCATTTTGCTGGATCAGGTTGTGTGGAATCCGGTTTTGCTGAATCTGATTTTGCTGTGGTTGTTATTGAATATTCTGTCCGCTGTTAGGTGTAGGCGAACGTGCAAAAGGTTGGCGTCTGCGTTGAGGCACGTGACTGAATCGGAGTTAGATGGTTGCGTTTACGTATCACCGATTATGGAGATATTGAGCTCTTATCAGCAAACTATGTTCATTCGGTCATACAATTATTAACTAATATTTGGAATACAAAAGTTGGAACGCCACAGCTGTTGTGGTATAAACGAGATACGTGGGAAAACTGATAATGATAGGTGGGATAATATGGTGCGTCTTCCGCGTTTCCGTTAGTCATGCTCACAAAAATTTACATTTAAATCTTCTCATGTTAGATGCGGTCAAAATTCTAAGAGAATTAGAATTTAGAGAGAAAAAATTTCCGCTTCACCCAGCCGGGAATCGAACCCGGGTCTCCCAGATACGCGCCGGGCACTCTTACCGACTAAGCTACCGGGAACCACAGGTTAGTCCACACTGTTAGTCCACAGGAGAGGTTGTCAGAACAGCAGTATAACCGCTCCATGGCTCAACTTTGTAGTCAAACAAATGCAGCTGCCGGTGTATTACCTAAGATAATCGAGGAAATATCTCCAACTAACTCAGAGACCGACAGTGAGCCTGAGGATTCATCCAGAGATGTAGGGGGAACAGTGAGGAATGTTGTGGTAGAGACACATAGGGAACTGCATGCCACAGTCCCACCACAGTCTGTGCAGTCGGGAGGAACAACCTGAAACTCTGAAGGAGTAACTGGATTCAGCACGAACGACCAAATGCAAGATGAAGGTGAGAAGCTGGAAGACACATGCGCGCGCGCAGTCATTTCCCGGCACTTATTCTCTCCACACTTATCCTTCTGTACTCACTGCGACACTTATTCCACACACACACATATACACTCCGCCAGGGTGAAGCCCAACTCTTACGGCGGCGCGTCTCCAGATGGTAGATAGGGGGTGTCCTCTGGGCCGGTGGGCTGACCACTGGGTTAGCTTGCTGACCGCTCGGCTGGCTTGTTGACCGCTCGGTCGGCTTGCTGATAGCTGGGTTGGCTCACATGCCCAGCAGGGGATTGGAGCTTTGCTTCCACGGATAAAAAACCGGGGTGCAGGGTGGGTTCCCTATAACAGCCTTCAACAAAGAGAATCGGGAGGGCTTCCGTCAACAGCCTGGATTTGCAATGAATAGTAATGACAAAAGGCAAAGTTCCCATGCGGGCATACCGGATAAGGTTAATCCTGTCACCAGTTCCGATCGGGTGCAAGCCCCGGTGGCCGGTACTGGCTCCATGGATTGTGGGAGGAGCCAAACATCACCTCCTGCAAAGGTGGACCCTTTGGCCTCAGATGCTACAAGTGGGGGAGGGTCTCAGACCCAATATGAGAAATAACCCAATATGAGAAATAAATAATAATATGAGAAACAATGGCTTCCAGCATTCAAGCGACTCGGAGCACTCATCTATGACCTACAGAAGTGTGTCCAGCCTAAGCAGAACATCCACAAGGAGATCAAATCCGAAGTGGTTGCCGTCTGCAGTGCCTTCAAACGGCTGGAGGATCTGGAGAGGGCACGCGCTAAAGCCCAAACCTCAGCTGCTGAGGCGGTCCAAAAGACGAGACCAACACTGCTACTGCCCTCACGTAGGGGCTCTGAAACGAGGTCTCGGACATGGAGGACTCGGACATCGGGAAGAATGGTAGAGAGATTCGCAAAGCACTACGGAGGAAACGGGAGCTGAGAGAATAACCTGAAATTGCGGGCAAGAACACCAAGAAACCAAAACAGCAGGGATTGCCACGACGGACGGAGCACCCAAGCTGTCTAACGCTGAGCCTTCCCATTGATGAGGTCACCGATTTCCTAAATAGACTGACTGAGGATGCGAAGCAGCACTTTCCCGTGACAATAGCCGGGGACTTCAGTGCCTGGGCAGTCGACTGGGGAAGTAAGGAGACTAATGCCAAAGGACAAGCCGTACTGGAGACCATGTCATTGTTGGACTTGGCCTTGTTTAATAGCGGCGAGGAACCAACCTTCATGAGAGGAGAGGCAAACTCAATCGTAGATCTTACCTTCGTGATCAACAACCTCGCAAAAGGAAACTGTTCATGGGAGTTAATCGAAATATAGGACACAGCAAGCGACCACCGTATGATACTCTGGGAGGTTTCCACCGGCCAGAGACGCGGACCCGCACCGGAGAAGACTAACGTAATAGGCTGGAACGTGAGCTCCTTCGATCCTAGTATCTATTTAGTGGCACTGGACGATCGCCCAATCAGTGGCAGCAATGCCACTGAAAAGGCAACAAACATCATGAGAAGACTCACGGAAGCTTCCGATGCCACCATTCCCAGCGAGCCATCAACCGGCGGCCACCGCTATACTGGTGGAATGATACTATCGCGAATTTGCGTAAGGAATGCAACGCGGCAAAAAGATCATCTCAGCGCGGCCGCAAGAAGCCGAACTTTGAGGAACTGGAGACGAGGTACAAGAAGTCACGCCATAAGCTCAACAAGGTCATCAACCGCAGCAAAGCACATTCCGTGGGGCAGGCCGTACAAGGTGGTGATGACGCGGCTCAAAAGCCAGCCCATGCTATCGCCGACGTGCCCGAAGCTCTTGGAGACGATCGTCACGGTGCTCTTCCCACAACAACCTGGACTCCAGCGTGTCGACAAACGAGGAAAACCGTTGATGGTCCCACCAATCACTGAGGATGAGCTGATGGAGGCATGTGATAGGGCCGGGAATACCAAGGCCCCCGGTGTTGATGGGATTCCCAACATTGTGCTGAAAGCCGCTATCCATGCGCTACCAGGCCTATTCTTGGACGTGTACAACGAGTGTCTCAGCGAAGGCACCTTCCCTGCAAATTGGAAGCAGCAGAGGCTGGTGTTACTCCCGAGAAGGAAAAAGCCACCGGACGAACCTTCATCCTATAGTCCCCTTTGCATGCTCGATGCAGCTGGTAAGATCCTCGAGCGCATCGTCCACAGGAGAATAGAAGCTGCAGGTGAACCATTGCTGGCCAACAATCAGTACGGCTTTCGGAGAGGCCGATCCAGCCTTGAAGCCATTAACCTAGTTGTTGACACTGCTAGGGAAACGATTGCAGGGAAAAGATATCACAGAGGCAGGAAGAAGTACTGCTTAGTAGCGACGCTGGACATTAGGAACGCCTTCAACTCCCCCAGATAGGACTGCATTTTGGAGGCCCTCGAGAGTTTTGGCGTGCCTGAATACCTTCGGATGGTGGACGATTACTTCACCGGGAGGGTTCTCAAGTACGACACGGAGTGTGGCCTCAAGGAGAACAAAGTCACTGGAGGGGTTCCTCAGGGCTCGATACTGGATCCTCTCCTGTGAAATATCATGTACGATGGCCTGCTGAAGCTGACACTGCCACCCGATGTGAGTCTCGTAGTTTTTGCCGATGATGTGGCCATAGTGGTCGTGGGAAAACAACTGGAGGACATCAAACTTGCCTTCGAAATGACTTTTGGAGCGGGTCCGCGGTTGGACTCGGTTGGCCTGAGTCTGGCTGAGCATAAAACCAAAGCCGTGTTGATTACAAGTAGGAAAGTCTTAGAGAAAAAAATGCTGCGAGTAGGGGGCTATGAGCTCACATCCCAGCCCTACATTCGGTACTTGGGGGTGATGATCGATGCCTGGCTCAACTTCAAACAGCAAGTGGAGCACGTGACCAATAAGGCATCCAGGGTTCGAGTCGCCTTATTATGCCTCATGTCCAACATTAGATGTTCCAAGCAGAGGAGACGAGCTTTACTGTCGTCGGTGATTACGTCAGTACTCACCTACGGCGTCACTATTTGGGCGGATGCACTCCAAGTACAAGAGATCCGACGCAAAGTGGCAGCTGTTTAACGACTGAGTGCCCTCAGAGTTGCCAGCGCATACTCCATTGTGTCCGAGGATGCAGTCTGTGCCATCTCTGGGATGCCGCCAATTGACGTATTAGCCAAGATACGAAGATCCCTGTACCGGCAGACAGGATTGGGTATACTGAACACAGCAGAGCTCAGTGTAGAAGATAGATAAAACAGCTTGCACCGATGGTAGCTGCAGTGGAACGCCTTGTGCAATGGGAGATGGACGCACCGTCTGATCCCGCCGGTGTGAGTCTGGCTAAATCGCACTCATGGAGGGGTTAACTAAGAGATAATCCGGCCTTAGAACTTGGTGGAAGCTATGATATCATCAGAACAAGTCTGGAACGAAACGAGCAACTTTGCTCCAAAAAGAGAAGCGTATACTCCGGAAAGAGGAAAGCATACGGAAAAATGCAGATTGGATAGAAAGCTACCAGGACTTCATACTCACACCCAATATCTTAGTGAGGCAGGGGTTGTACGGCGGACAAACAACTATGAGGAAGGGCTATAGTCAAGATCTCCCTCGCGAAGTAATACCTGATGGTAGCCTAGAAGGTTTGCTGAGGAGGAGATATTGTTTTGTCGGGACAGGCCCGACACAGGGTGTTAACACTCTATCGTGCGTTAGGCATTTTTTTTCCTCTTCTCGAAGAAAATCAAAAAATGAAACATGAAAAAAGTACACACACACGCTGAGGGAAGGAGGGAGAGCGAGGGAGAGAGGGGGGGAGAGAGAGAGAGAGTGGGAGAGAGAGAGAGAGAGAGAGAGAGAGAGAGAGAGAGAGAGAGAGAGAGAATTGCGATTCATAAATCTTGACAATTTTAGATGCCATATTAAACTTCGAGGATATCCATGTATTCACTGATGTTTCTACGGTACACGCGGCTAGCACCGGAAACGAAGGGGAGAAGAAACGCCAAAGGAAGAGCCTACTGACTGGGAGATCGAAGGACACAGAACAAGCTGAGAACGTAAGTCGCGTTTCGCGACATTCTCCAGAGGGAACCGCAGGAACGGGTTTGAGGGAAAAAACGAGTGAGGAGGGCGGCGTAACGGACGGATTCGAGGATGTTGAAAGTGCCGCTGCTGACAGTGAGGGGGAAACCGGCAGTATGACAGGTCCGGAAGAGAGGAGGGATACCGGGAGCCCAACGGCCGCTGCGAGGAGCATGGCAGAAGGGGAGGAAGTGAACATGGAGAGGGATACCGGGAACCCAACGGCAGATGCGAGAAACACAGAAGAAGAGAAGGGAGAGAAGGAGAAGAAGAAGAAGAAGAAGGAGATCGAGAAGGAGAGGGAGAGGAGGAAGGAGAAGGAAAAGGCGAAGGAGAAGGAGCAGGAGAGAGAGAAGGAGGAGAAGAAAAAGGAGAAGGAAAAGGAGAAGGAGCAGGAGAAGGAGAAGGAGAGGGAGAAGGAGCAGGAGGAGAAGGAAAAGGAGATCGAGAAGGAGCAGAAGGAGAAGGAAAAAGAGAAGGAGATCGAGAAGGAGAGGGAGAGGAGGAAGGAGAAGGAGAGAGAGGAGGAGAAGAAAAAGGAGAAGGAAAAGGAGAAAGAGATCGAGAAGGAGAAGGAGGAGAAGGAAGGAGCAGAAGGAGAAGAAAAAAGAGAAGGAGATCGAGAAGGAGCAGGAGAGGGAGAGGGAGAAGGAGCAGGAGAAGGAGAAGGAAAAGGAGAAGGAGATCGAGAAGGAGCTGGAGAGGGAGAGGGAGAAGGAGAAGGAAAAGGAGAAGAAACAGGAGAGGGATAAGGAGGAGGAGAAGGAGAAGGAGCAAGAGAAGGAAAAGGAGAAGGAGAAGGAAAAAGACATTGACATGAGGGTTCCTTACTTCTTTCCGCTCACTAATGAAATGGCACCAACCAACAGAAACGGGAGGGGAAGTACGAGAGGAACCAGTAGCAGGAGGAGTAGAAGCAGAGGAAGCGCAAGGAGAAGCAGGAGCAGAGGGAAAAGTAGGAGCAGAAACGAAAGAAGAACAAGTAGAAGTACAAGCAAGAGAAGGAGCAGAAGCAGGGAACGAAGCAGGAGCAGAAGGAGAAGCAGGAGTCGAAGCAAGAGGAGTAGCAGAGGAAGGAGCGGAAATAGGAGTAGGAGCAGAAGTAGGAGCCACAGCCGAAGGAGCCGCAGCAGGCGGTGAAGCTGCGTGAGTGCTCATCTATATATGTGTTGCTGGGTGTGTACGTGTATGACTGGTTGAAATCGCGGTAACTTTTGCAGAATATTGCCAAGGGCTAATCGCTCCGAGATTGAGTGACGCCATGACTTCCGAATGAAGTCGACTGATTTCACTGATTTGGTTAAGATTCGCTTTTGATGACTTTAATCGCCGCGCGACATGATTAAATGTCATTATTCAATTCCAAATGAATTCAGAGCATCACAAGCTTCGAACGGTGGTGACAAATCGCGTGATCACCACGGTCGAATGGTAGAAACGAGAAGAACGATGGCAAGGGTCAAATACTGGAGATGAGAGGAGTGATGACGAGCGTAAAACAGGAGGGACAGGTACACTGATAGAACAGATTAGTTATTGTTAACGAATGGATTTTGGTTGGAGGTTAGGGTCTATTCGGTCCCACCAAAGGTTCATTGGTTAATAGTTAACGAATGTATATTTGAGGAGCCTTGTTTGACTTGACTTTCGCCATTCAAGTGAACCATTCGTTAAATATTAACGAATATTCATTTGGTCATATTCAACTTTACCATTCGTTAATAGTTAACGAATCTCGTTTGGAAGAAATGAATCATTCTATCAGTGTAGAATGATCACAATCCACGTATCTCCCCCGTTCGCCCCTCATTAGCACCGTTTAACCCTTTGGATCACTCTACTCGTTTCTTCAGTTCGATGATTGTGATCACTTTCAGTTATCAAAGTAGGTAATTTTTTTATGTTGTTCTCCGATACTGCATCATAACAATGTAACTACAGGTACTCATTGGCTGACTTTCAGCTGTTGAGACTCTGATCCAGAAGTATTCAAAATTAGTAATACGCAAGTGATTTTAATGATCTCACGTAATTTCACTAATTGATTTTATCATGAAGTAACGCCATGATTTCAGGAGCGAGTAGCCCCTCGCAAAATCAGATTCAGGAAATGTACTTTCGAGTCAGAATCGTCCGTTCGTTCCACAGTCAGTTGTATGGGCCCATAAGCGCGCTATGAGTCGCATACAATTAACCGAACTACCAATTCAGACTTCAAAATACTTTTGCAGGCTTAGCCTCAGTCTTGAAGAACAGAACCTCCTCATCTCGATTGCCTTATTCTGCCTTTCATGCGTGTCGTATGTTATCTGATTACACTTATATTAATACATCAGAAAATGAGTTCACTGGAATGTCATTATCGATTTCAGTGCCAGCTCAAATAGAGGGCGTGGTGAGGGTGAAGAGGAGGGAGATTAGAGAAATGTGCAGAGGAGTACAAAGGGATATGATGACATCTGAGAAAAGATTGGAAAAGAGCACTTACCAAATTCGCCATACGTTTTGACTATTAATTGTCAATACTCGTTTCTTTATTTTTCTGTTTCTTGTTAATTAGTTCGTGTTTGCCTTCGTGTTTGCCTTTTATAATTGATGAATTAAATTTTGTTTATAATAATAAACTTTCTTTGGACTTTATTCATTTCATCGATCAAATAGATACGGCTATTCGCTTCCCAGGAAATGATTTGCCAGTAAATTTTCGGCTATCTATCGGTTTTATCGGAGATTTTTACATAGAATCGCTAAAAATTAATTGTTGAGATGGATGGAAAGTAATGTTCTCATTAAAACCTGAATTGAATTGTATTTTGATGAGTTCATGGATTTAGCCCTTCTATAGGATCGAATCAATCTTGGTCTAGAGTCACCCAAACTCCATGGACGCGATATTTGTTAAGGAGTTTCCACCGAATTTTTCAATTACCAAAGAATCAAGATGGGCTTTTCAAACAGTTCATAATATTAATCCCTGACAATGGAAAAGTAAGTTCTGAAATCACTTATTTTAACAACCCAATAGTTTCGTAGATTGGAATATCTTTCGATAAACAGGACGATAATTTGTTTATTCTCGTATTGTCAAAACAATACAATACGATATTCATTACACAAAAATTTACGATGTTGAAAATCTCGGCGGGAAATTTGTAATTTTTTTTTTCTGATGTGTGGAGTTTCTCTCCGTGTTTCCAAGGAATAATGGAGCAGAATAATGAATGAGACTCCAGAACTTCATCACAAGTATTTAATCTTATCGAAGGAACAAATTTATGTCGAACTAAGAGTCAAACGTTGCCAGGATCATGACTTGCGAAAGTCGCAGTATCATACCTCGCAAGAGTCGAACGTCACCAGGGTCATATATTGGGGGGG